ATAGTGCAAATCTATAGTCATTAATGTGCATTTTTTTATAACACAATTGTGCATAAGAAGTATATGAATTATTTACGATTTGCCTAAGTAATCAAACTAAAATTGAATGAAATAGATCAGTTTATTTGACCAGTTTATCAAACCAACATAAATAATTGAAATAATTTAGAACTTATATTATAAAAATACATTTAATAGTTTAATGTTTTATTAATATTTTTGTATTACATTTCGTTGTAAAGATCTGAAACAAACAAATAACATATTTTTATAATGTTTGATCGTACGATTATTTTGAAAAATAAAGCTGACATCGAACTGAAATAATCAAAAGAAAGCCAAAACAGATAATCGAAACAAAGTATAAAGTTTGGACCCAAACACATAGTTTGTTCAAGTTCTTCTGATTTAGTGCAATCTGGTAGTCATTAATGTGCAATTCGTCTAACACAATTGTGCAATCGCAGTGTATGCACTTTTTTTTTATGAATTGCCCCAATCCAAAACTAAAGTCGAACGAAATTCTCGATTTATTTGACCGGTTACCTGAATTAACATAAATAACCAAATAATTTATATTTTTTAAATAATAAAAATATATTAATTAGCATACTATTTTATTTAATATTCAATATTACTTTTGGTTGTAAGGACGCGCAATATATAACTAACAAAATAATATTTATTTTAAAATAGTTCGATTGATTTAGTTAGTTTTTTTTTTTTTTTTTGAAAAAAAAAGTTGACATTGAACTGAAATATCAAATATTTAAAAATAAAATAGATAATCGAACGGAAAATATAAACTTCAGACCCAAAAATTTAGTTCGTCGGGTTCGATCGCTATGGTGCAATATGTCAGTCACTAATGTGCAATTCGTTCATCACTAATGTGCAATCTGCCAGTAAACCGAATAAACTAAACTGATAAAAAAATAATTACTATTTATATTATTAAGATATATTTAGTATTGTACTATTTATATTTTAACATATTATATTATTTTGTTGGGATAATAATATATGTATAATATAATAAATAATATTTTATTTATTTATTTTTGACGGTTCAGTTGTTTCAGTTATTTTAAATATAACGCCGAAATCGAACCGAGAAACCATAATTTTAAAAGTAAATAAGACTACCTATAGATTGGATGTTTTAGACAATCTATCCATTGACTTTATGTAGAGCGTGTAGTTTTTACTTGCATTTCATTTTTAAAATATTTTAATAATTTGTATTTCAATTAATATTATTGTACAGTCTAACATGCATCATATTTAACGCTCTTGTGCATTAATTCCTGTGCATTATATAGTACGGGTGTTTATTAGGTGCAAATCCAAACGTGATAGAGTGCATTACATTGAACATCATTGTGCAACTATAAACTTTTATCAATTTACAAAATTAACTCATAAAATTATTTGTAATATAGTTGAAAATTATTAATTTATATGTAAGTCCCTTACACTTGTCTAATTTGCAAAAAATGGCCCTAAATCAAAAATTCAGACTTCACCAACATATATTGTTCTCCGGCTGGTCTACTCATCCTTCTTCTTGGTTGTCACCCCCTCCCACGACCCCACCTCAGCCGGCTCGCACTCCGTGAGTCGGAATGAGCATATATCCAGTCGAAATACACCCTGTCAGTCGGAAGGACCCCGTCCGTCAGGGAGGAGAGGCGGCAGGGCTGAGTCGAAGAACCTGTTGCTAATACTAAGAAGATGGAGAGGGAGGTGAGCAGACTAATCGGGTAGACCATGGCTCCGGCGAGATGCGCGCGATTCAGATCTATGGCATTGATGGCTTTTCCAGGCGGATTTTCCAAGAAAAATACCTCGATCGTGCAAATAGATGCCCAATTAGGAGAAGAGGCTGTGTGATTCAAGGTGGAGGAAGGTGGTGCAGGTCGTGCAGCGGCGGTTCCACTTCCAGCGGTGGATGGCAGAGACAAACAGTTATGTGTTCTACTGTGTGTGTAAACCCTGATTTGTGTGTACTGTGTTTTTGCGTGTCAAGTTGGAGGAAGGCGGTGGCAGGCTGGAAGAGGCGGAGTCGGCGGTGGCTGGTGGCACTGACCGGCGAGGGTGTGTGTGTGAGCCGTGAAGTGTGTGTACTGTATGGTGTGCGTATTAGTATGTGTACTGTGTGTGTGAGTATTGTGTGTGTGTGTGTGTGTGTGTGTTCATGAGAGAGATGATGTGCTCGCTGCGGCGGCGGCCGGCGGCCGGCGGTGGCTGAGATTTTCTGACGAGAGTGTGACGGTGTGTGTATTGTGTGCGTGATGTGTGAGAGAATATCGTATGGTGTGGGGTGGGTTGACCGAAAGATTAATTGGCATTTGGTAGGTGATTAAATATGTATTGGGTCTCACTTTTTTGGTGATGTGTAGAAAATTACTACATTACCCTTAATGAAGGTATAATTTTAACTTTTTTAAGTCATTAGATCATCTGATCTAATGACTACAATTTATTCTCATTTCTTCACTAAGAACCATTCTTATGTGAATCCAACTCATTTAAATAAATCTTATTGAAACGGTTATCTTATCTGATATGATACTTACGGTTAAATAAACTCTCAAATTTTATTGAGAAAATCATAAAAATATTTAAAAATCTTAAAATAATATCAATAAATAAAATATTTAATATATAAAAAATTTAATTGTCATTGTTTATAGAGCGGTGATCTTGAAAATCAATTGCACAAAGAAGTAAATAATTAAAATGTCATGATATATTTTTGTTAATAATAGAATGGAAAACTTCAAATATTCTAAGTGTTATTAATTAAAATAATACTCAACTTGATATTAATCACCTAATATATTTTTTTTCAACCAAACTTTGAAATTACAAACCAACAAACAAAAAAATGATGATTTATGTGGGATCAAAATTCCAATCCAATAAAAGTAAGGTGAAATTTCAAATTCTAAATCTAAATAAAAGAGTTTATTCTATTGGTAAAATTTAGGTAATTTTTAACGTATATAGGCATATCATGATTCTCTAGATATCTTAATTAAATTTTGTAGATAATTATATGATCTAAATCATGTTGCAAAAAAATTATTCAACGGTTTATCTTTTACTATTACACAATAACTTATTTTTTTATAAGTTATTATGAAAAAAAAATTTTATACTTTATGAAAGATTGTTATGAGGACAAGCAATATCGATTTTGATTTATTTTACTTATAATCGTTAATATACTTATAAAATTAAATAAATATTATTTAAACAATTATCTTATTTGATAGGATACTTGTGGTTAAATAAACTCTATTGAGAAAATCATAAAAATATTTAAGAATCTTAAAATAATATCAATAAATAAAATATTTAGCGTGTAAATTTTAATTTTCATCGTTAATAGAACGCCGATTTTGAAAATCAGTTTCTCAATGAAGTAATAATAATTAAAATTTCATGATATATTTTTATTAATAATTGAGTAGAAAGAATCAAATTTTTTAGGTGTAAATAAAAAAAATATTACACAACTTGATATTAATCACCTACGTTATTGGCTTTGCAACCAAAATTTAAAAATACAAACCAACAAACAAATAAATGACGATTTTCGTGGGATAAAAGTTCGATTCAATAAAACTAAGTGCAATTTCTGATTCTAATTCAATATACAAGAGTTTATTTTTCTTAAATAATGAAATAGTTAAATGTGTTGTTCCACATCTATTGTTAGATTATGTATATCTTTAAGGTGTGCATGATTTCGGCAAAGTTTTAGATATCTTCTCTTAATTAAAGTTAAGTGTGTATCTTTGAAATTATTTATTATATACAAGTTATCCCTCAAATAAATTGTCATTTTTTACCAAAATTTATTGTTTTGTTAAAACATAGGTAAATAAATAATTGACAAGATTTGGAATCTTTATAAGTATTTATTAGGTTGTTTTTGTTGCATCATTTTTTTAAGAACTTTTATATATTAAAACTGTTAAATATGATTACGATTTATCATTAAAATTAATAAGTATTTTCAAAACAACAGTTCTTTATTATTTCAAAGCTTTTTGTTTGGGTTAATGTTTGGTTGATTTTTTTGGAGATATGGAATTAAGCAGTTTAGAAGATATGTAGAAGAAATCAAATTTTTGAAAAATAATGGTGCGAAATATTATGGTTGGTTTTAGGAGATGTAGAATGTTTTGTTCGTATAATTGTATTTAATTAATTAAATATTAAATAGGCATTAATGTATTACACATTTGACATTAAAAATACATGAAATAAAGAGGTTTTAGGTAAATACTAGTTATTGATTAAAGATATAATATGAGGCAGATATTGGTGTATTACTAATTTGCCGTTAAAAAGATGTCAAAGTAAGGGTGTTTTAGACAGTTCATATTTTTACAAAAAAAACTCGTCATTTTATAATTGTATAGATATAGATATAAATATAGATATAGATATATATAAATATAGATAGATAGATATAAATAGATAAATAGATATAGACATAGATATAGATTAGGCCATTTTTATAATATAGATATAGATATATAGATGCTGTGTTCTAAGACTATCTTTATCTCCAACCCAATTCAACTCAACCTAATAATTAAAAATTATTTCTATCTCTTCCACCTATACAACTCAACCTTACAACTCAATTTATCTTTATCCACAACCCAACTCAATCTAAGGCCATCTCCAGCCCTTAGTCTAAAAGACCGAAAAATAAATTAACCATGAAAAGGCTTAAATCAACTTCACACAGTAAACGTCTTAGCGAGAGAGGAATGTGGATAGTACACGTGTAATCTAGAATATGCGAAGCGCTTCTCGAGACCTTGTAAGAATTCGCCAGGTGCTTCCACTTTGTATTATATATCATCATCCTCCATCGCGCTCTAATCCCTCATCCAGAAATTTGACAATCAACTCACAAAACAATCAGTATCTCTTCAGCAGTAAATTAAAACTGCTCTTTGATTTATACACAAAAAATGTCGCTGATCCCAAGCTTCTTTGGCAACCGCCGGAGCAATGTGTTCGACCCGTTCTCGTTGGATCTGTGGGACCCATTCGAGGGCTTCCCTCTCTCCACCGGCAGGGACGCATCGGCGGTGGCCAACGCGCGGATAGACTGGAAGGAGACGCCTGAGGCCCACGTGTTCAAGGTGGATGTCCCCGGCCTCAAGAAGGAGGAAGTCAAGGTGGAGGTCGAGGACGGCTCTATTCTCCAGATCAGCGGGGAGAGGAGCAAGGAACAAGAGGAGAAGAACGACAAGTGGCATCGCGTCGAGAGGAGCTCCGGCAAGTTTGTCCGCCGTTTCCGGCTTCCGGAGAATGCAAAGCTGGATCAGGTGAAGGCTGCCATGGAGAACGGAGTGCTTACGGTGTCCGTGCCCAAGGAGGAGGTCAAGAAGCCCGAG